GAGGGAGGTCTGGGCCTCCCTTCTGAAGCTGCTGCCCCCGCGACCCGACCCCGGATAGGCGGAAGAAAATGGATGGATGGATGGATGATAAATGAAACATTTGAAGCAGTGATTTTGTCCAATCAGAACTGAAAAAAGCATTAAAATAAACAGTGTGAGTCAAAAGTCTCAGGACACYTTTTTATTTCAGAAACAGAAAAAAAAAACATCTGAATACCCCAACAAGTAAGGARTGTGTGAGCTCGAAAATGACGGCCATCTTGAAAGTCACCATATTAAGAGTGTCCTCCGACTTTTGACTCACCTGTATATTTAATTAATCAAAGCCCAAAAGAAGTACATTATTTTGTTAAAATCAACACTTTAAATGCTAGTTTAATTGTTTGAATGACTAAATATTTATTTAAATGACACAAAAAATCTGTTATTTTCTATAACGTGTTTTAGAGGGGTGAGGCTGTCGTAGTGATTAGTTTTGGACATGACAAAGATTAGCAGCACAGTTTATTTGATTGCATTAGTACTGTTTATGTTAGTGCCTGATGCTCCATCTGGACACCACAGGGGTCAAAAAAACCTCACGGATTTCCATTAAAAGAAACTTGTTTTAATCTCACTGCCATTTCCGTGTGAAATTGTGCGTTCTGTAATATCAGTATTTAATTTTGAAGAAAGTCGTGATATTTGACATTTTACATTACCCTAGATTCAACCGTTTTCCCATTGTAGGCTTCTGCACGAAGTTACTGTTTATTTGTCAATATTTATTTTTATTTTATTGACTTTAACTTTATTAAAATAAAATAAATTTATATACAATAAAAATACAAATCACAAATAAAATGAAAAGCAACAGAAAGAAGAAAATAAATCTTATATCGCTGTGCCTTTTTCCACAAAAAAATAAATCCACTCAATAATATTATAATATTGCAGAACTTTGTGACTRCTGAGGCCCTGAGAGTTGTTTTTGTCTTTGAAAGATGTGTTTTCTGTGTTTTTAAAGTGCTTGAACCATGACCTTGTACCTTTGCAAAGACTCAGACTGTATGTAAATGCACCTGTCTGCATTCTCAGCCAAAGTTAAACATCCATCTTGGCTGCAGGGTCGTTTCGTTTGTGAGCAGAGAAGAAGAAAAACTCAAAGCGAAGAGAAGGAGCAAAAATAAGGACATGCAGTGCAGGAGAGATGTAGATTGTCTCTACCAGCGAGCTGTAGGACTCATCTGAACAAGCGCCAGAGTCTGCTACCTCTGTGACCTTTGACCTGTCCTCTGCAAGTGAAGAGGACAACGAGGATTCTGCAGATCACTGCTGCAGAAATCACCTGCAGGCATTGGTAGTGCCTTCTTATTTATTTTTTGTTTATGTAGCATCCTTTTATTGTGTTTTTATTTAAAGTTGTTACTTTCTTTGTATAAGATTGATAGGTTTTATCATATGGGCTATATTTATATTTTGTTTTACTATTCAGTTATTTGTTGTAGTATATACTCTTTAAAATCTAATATCAGATATKATATAAAAGCAGCCGTAGCCTAAACAGTTCCTTCAGCGATGAAATGACTTTAAAACTCTGCTTCAGTCATGAYGTGTCTGAATTATTATTTAAAAGTTGTTTCAACACCAGGTTATTACAATAAATGGAGAAAATTGTGTTTAAACTCTTTTTATTGTCACAGATGATGATTTAGTGACTTATTATTTTACCACTTGGACACAATGTGTACATTTACACTGAAATCCATTTAGTTGGAGGACATGGTGTTGCGGATCCAGGTGTTGTAGTTGCACACCTTGGTGTAAACTCCAGGCTTGTTCTTCTGGGCACAGCCGTAACCCCAGGACACAATACCCTGCAGCTGACCGTTACACACCACGGGACCACCGGAGTCACCCTGAAACACAAAAGACAAGATGAGGTGTGAGTAAAAGTCTTATTAGCTTTGACCTGTTCGCTCTAACAAGCAGTGCTGGATCTCCTACCTGGCAGGAGTCCTTGCCTCCCTCCAGGAATCCAACGCAGATCATGTTGGAGGTGATCTCTCCGGGGTAGGAGTTCCTGCAGCTGGTGTCGCTCAGGATGGGGGCGTCCAGGCACATGAGTCTGTCAGGGTAGTAGCCTAAAACAAGAGACAACACATAAGGCTACTCTTCTCTACCCCATCGTTATCAGCAGTACCACTGTTTGTGCAGATTCACTGACTTCCAGAGCCGCTGGTGTTTCCCCATCCAGAGATCAGACAGGAAGTGCCGGCGCCAGCGCAGGTGGAGGGCAGGGACACGGTCTTGACGTAGCTGTTCAGGGTGGCGGCCTTGCTCAGCTTGATCAGCATGATGTCGTTGTCCAGGTTGTAGCTGCTGTAGTTGGGGTGGCGGATGACCTTGACGGAGTCGATGAACTGCTCGGTTCCCTCGCTCACAGCAATGTTGTGCTCTCCGAGTCTCACGTTGATGCGACTGCGTGACAAGAAAACACCCAAGTCGTACAGTTTGCATTAGGATGAGTGGCAGGGGCGGAGTCAGAGGGGCGGTTGGGGTTGCCAGTGCAAACCCCTGGCACTTGATTGGCCATTGACAAGTGGGTGGAGATAGTRCATTTCAAAGCTGAGCAGTTAGAAGAGTAAATACTTGTGAAGGATTGTCTGGTGTAAACAGAACATGGTGTGTGAAGTAAAAAATATTGTGAACCACTGAGTTAATTTGAAACATGTTTTTGGTTTAAGAACAAGATGGCAGTGGCCAGTAACATAACAATGGCATGGAGCAACCAGATCCTTGAGTGACTTTGACAAGTTGACAAGCCGCCATTTAAAACCAATGATTTGACTCAATATGTCAAAGAAATAGCTGAGATTAAGCCATTTAAATTTAGCTTAGATGTCCATCTTAGATTTTGTATTTGAATTCAGATTCTATTAAAGATTGTTTTTCAGCTACTACAGCACTCGTTTTCAACAGTGTGTGTTTAAAACGGGCTAGCTTATAGCCTGTTGTAACATTTGAGCTGATTTACAGCCATTTAAAGTGAACTGTGGCTGGCCATTTGCATTTTTTTTTATTAATGTTTAGAAATTGGTAAAGATTGTTTTGGGCATCTACTAAACTAATTTTAGTTTTAATTGCTGAAGTATAGTTCTTTGTAAAATTTGTTTTAGTGGTGTACTGAAATTGGGATTAGCAATTATTATGTTTTTTTTTGGATCATTCTTAGCTACGATCACACAAAATTTCAGCTCAATAATTCTTAAAACGGCTGATTTAAAGTCATTTAAAATTAGCTGTGGTGGCCATCTTGATTTTCAAAATCATCCAGGTTTCTTTATTTGCATGTGCCCCCCTAAAAACACCTTGTCCGCCCATGCGCCACCCCTTGGAAAAGGTCTAGCTTCGTCCCTGAAGAGTGAAAGTTACTCAGACTTTGAAAGCCACTGTGCAATGTGGCATTTATACTGTGCAGTGTGGCATTTATACTGTGTCATGTGGCATTTCTCTGACTGTGSTGGACTTACGACTGGTAGCAGTGAGCAGCAGACACCACCCAGGTGCTGGAGATCAGGGAGCCTCCACAGAAGTGGTAGCCGACGTTCAGAGACGCAATGTAGGCCACAGAGTTCTTCCTGCACTCGTAGCCTCCGACGATCTTGTCATCCTCAATGGGAGCAGCATCTGTAAAGACAAAGTTCCAGAATAAAAAAAAAACAATAAACCCTTCTTAAAACAGTGCAGGAGTCGATACATGAGCTACAGAAACTCACAAGCTGCAGCAAAGAGAGCCAACAGGATGAAGCACTTCATGATTGAGTCCTGAACTTCGGTGAATGTGCAGCTCCTCTGCTCCTCTATTTAAACCCACCGGACCRCTCTGCTATCAGAATGCTCAAGGACACTGAGGAAACCTTTCCAAAGCCTTTTCTTGGTATGGAACGTGTGGGAAACAACATCTGGATGCTGAGGGGCCGGCGTGCTGATAAAGTGAGATCCCAACTCATGAACACGTAGTTCAAGAACAAGATGAAAAAATATTGTTATAAAAAATGTTCTCATTTCTGATGATTTTAATAAACATACATTTACATGTCTGTATCTACTGAAAGTAAAACTGATGTAAACAACAAACCAGTAACTCATATAAACAGTGCAAATTTAAGTTTTTTATTACAGCTTTACCCAGTTTTTTAATTTCATTTCATTTCATTTATTGGTTATTTCCTCAGAGACAGGAGTCACTGCTTACTAATGACTTATACTACAACATTTTTGGGCTAATTTGCAAAGCCAATCATTAAATKGGCCTTTAGCAACATCAAAATAATTAAAATACTAACATTAGAATACATTTTAACATTTGTGCCCCATCATCGAAATGAGGATTAAGTCTAAAAGTGGTATTTGGAGAAACAGAAAAATATAGAGTTTTGATTAAAACATTTTCAAAAATTGCGTTTTGTCAAAACATCATTAATAAATGCCTTATCAATGTGCCAATTAAATAAACGGTCTGAAATATAATTGTGAAACAAAATTTTGAAGCGCCTTTTTTTTTCAGCAGTGGCAACAAAAAAACCCGACTTTGTGCAAAGATGGCTTAAAATTTGGAGAGTTTCCCTGTGAGCTAGAAATGTTTTTGTTCCTTTACAGCTGGGAAATCTTAATATTCAAATATTATCTGAAGTTTCCTCTTAATAATGACATCAACAATTCCTCATTAAAATTACATAAAATTAGGATTCAGACCAAATCTTATTGTGTTATTGTAACCAGCAAGACAAATTAAGTCATATATCTGGATACACTTGTGATGTCAGACTGATCCAGGTATTAAAATGTAGCTTGTAAAGCCAGGAATCTGAAAATGTGATTAGGTCCTTTTGACCAAATTTGACTTTATCCTCATTTCGATATTATGGCTCACATTTATTTTACTCATTTTTGCCTGTTTAAAGCTATAGTTTTTAAAGCCTTAAATATTACAGGCTTCTGTTATATTCCAAAAGCATATGCTGAAAAATGGTACAGTAAAAACATATTTAAAAATCTCATGTACAACAGATAAAATTAATACAAAGTAAGTTTTACTAGAATAACATAGAATTTTAGTTAAATGCAATAATGTTTTATTAGTCATATTAACTTGTTTTATTGTATGCTTTTATGGTGTATATTGTATTTGTTTTATCTCCTTGTGAAGCACTTTGTGATGTTTATCTGTGAAAAGTGCTACACAAAAAAAATCTACTTATAAACTTACTTAGTAGAATAGAATAGAATAGAATAGAATAGAATAGAATAGAATTAGTTTCATTATAGTGCATTACAAAATAAAATAACAAAATAATAATTATTTTTATTATATAGTGAGCAACAAAATTGAGGGGTTATTCCTTTTGGTGCACGAGAACTGTAAAAATATTAAAGAAATATACTATATATA